TTTTTTTCCCGGAAAAGAAAAAAAACTCCCAGTTCCCCTTTTATTAAAGGGGGGCCCCCATGGGGGGGTTCGCCCCAAAAAAAAAAAAGTAATAAAAAAGCGCTTCAAAGCAAATCTCCTCGCTCCCCCCTTCCAACCTGACAGCCACCAACCCCTGCCGCCCCCAACCCACAGGGCCCCCCAACCTGACAGTTCCAAAACCCAACCCGACAGCCAAACCCCGCAGCCCCCAAAACCTGACAGGCCCCCCAACCTGACGCCCCCAACCTGAAAACCACCAACCTGACAGGCCCCCCCAACCCGGGCAGTCACCCCCTGACAGCCACCACCTGACAACCCCCAACCTGACAGCCACCAAAAAACCCGACAGTCACCAACCTGACGCCCCCAAAATGACAGCCACCAACCCGACCGCCACCAACCTACAGTCAACCCAAACCCGACAGTCCCCCCCCAAATGACAGTACCAACCGACACCACCAACCTGACGCCACCAACCTGAAAAAGTCACCAAAACCCGACAGTCACCAACCCGAAAAGCACCCCAAACCCACATTTACCAACCTGCCCGCCACCAACCTGACAAACCACCAACCCCGACGCCCCCAACCTACAGCCACCAAAAATGACAGCCACCCCCCTGACACCCCCAAAACCCGACACCACCAAACCCGACAGCCCCCAACCTGACAGCCCCCAACCTGACAGTCCCCAACCTGACAGCCACCAACCTGACAGCCACCAACCTGACAGCCACCAACCTGACAGCCACCAACCTGACAGCCACCAACCTGACAGCCACCAACCTGACAGCCACCAACCTGACAGCCACCAACCTGACAGCCACCAACCTGACAGTCACCAACCTGACAGCCACCAACCTGACAGCCACCAACCTGACAGCCACCAACCTGACAGCCACCAACCTGACAGCCACCCTTAAACACTCTTTCCCTCCGCAGTATAGAAATTCTGGCGCCGCCCATGTCTTTGGATCAAGACTTTCTCACCGGCATCAAGGCACCTGCTTGAGGACCTCAGTTGGAGATACAATATGTAAGAAAAGTTATTACTCTTGTTGTCTTCTTCTCAGTGGGTTTGTACCTACTGACTATAGATCCTTATTAACTTAAAATCTTTGTATATCGAATACTCTTATAAAACAAGGACAGATAATGATAATAAACAAAGAGTTGTATTCTTTTATTCCAGTGGGGACCTGAGGAGGACACGAGGTATCCTCTTGAGAAATATTCTTACCAGTGATATCGAACCTGAATTATTTACTAATGAAGTTTTCTCTCTCTCCGAGTCTTTGATCAACTTTCCTCTAATGACTTTTTCCGGTATATTTACAACACTTGTCAGTGAAAATGATCTATAGCACCAGGGGCCTCATCTGTCTGCAAGTTTACACCTTTGGAGTCGATTTCGGGGGTCACCGCCCCCGCTGCCTGGTCTCAGACCAAGCCTCTTGGTTGCTGGCCTGATCGATCAGGCTCTTGGTGCCAGTCACACACAGTTCAACTTATGTACCAAAGCCTGGCTGATCAGGAACTGACACGAGGAACTTCTCAATTTCCCTCTGGAAGACACCCGGGAATTTGTTCATAATTCCCCTTATGCTGAAGAGGCTTGGTCTTCTTACACTTAGCGAGTTTTCTTGCATTGGAAATATCTTTCACCATCTGTCAAGTCTCCTGCTTTCACGGAGTGATTTCGGTGTGCAGGTTTGGGACTAGTACTTCCAAAAAAATTGAATGTAGGTTGTTATTATTATATTTACGGGGGAACGCTAAACCCGTAGAAAATACACGCAGGGGGGGATGGAAGGTATCAGGC